GCAACAAAAACAAAAAAAAAAAGTTTTGCCTTTAGTTATACTTTTAAAATGTAACTAAAGGGAAAACCTCTCCACGCCCAATGAATGTAGTGAGGGAGGATTATAACTTCTTTTTTGCCACCTATGTCCCATTGGAGATATTTCCATTCACTTCCTGTACCATAGCCAAAACAGGATGCGACAGGAAATCCCTCTAGATCACGGGTGTCAAACTGGTGGCCCTCCAGCTGTTGCCAAACTACAACTCGAATGAGGCATTGCAAGACTGACAGCTCCAAGCATGACTCCCAAAGGAAGAGGCATGATGGGACTTGTAGTTTTGCAACAGCTGGACGGCAGCCCGTTTGACACCCCTGCTCTAGAGTGGGGGAATTCCTGGCGTCACCAGACCTAGGATTCCAGTTGGAAGATTTCCCCTCCATTATTGTGCTGGTATCAATCCAAAACTTCAGATTTCCTTTTCCTTTTAACGGTAACAATACACAGGACAAATTGAGAGTGAAACTGCCTAATAGAGACAGGAAGACAGCAATAAACACTGACAGGTGTTCTAATCCCTCTCCACTCTATCCAAAACTAAAAAGGTTTTTGCCTTTATTTACACTTTAGGGAAACAAAGTGTTCATCTATATAAAAACACACTTTTTTTTTTTTTTGTTTTACAAGTGTGGTGCAGACAAAGCTTCAAACCTTGCCTGTATAGGACAAACTTCACTGAATGATGTTTCATCCAAAGTTTCCAAAAACATACCTTTTTAATAGGTGAAATAAATACTCCAGTACAGCAATGTAAAAACAGACATTTAAAAAATGACAATAATTTTATTATAGTGTACAAGTCAGAAACATTCTTACTGTAACCCACCCTCCCAACAGTAAGTCAGCACATGGGAACATCGTTTGCTTTGCCTCGTTCTGCAGGCTCCTTACACACCCCATTCACACTCTGTTGCAGATTTCAAAAAAGGGAGCTACATCCAGCAGCTAAAAGCCATACAAATGTCTACAAATAAAACTGAGGTAACTTTTTTTTATATTCCTGCAGATCATACACAGCGATATTCTGATGGATCGTCTGGAAGACACCGGCTAAAACCGCACCCAGCACGGATTTTAAAGCCTTAATAATGCCACTTTAGTGCCAGAACCGGTACTGAAAGGAGGAAAAAGGGGGAGGCTTAGCAACAAAAATCGTCAGGAATGGCAGGGAGTGGTCAATGAGAACGTTGCATCTTTAAAATGTTAAATTATTGTAATAGTGCAAGTTATTTCAATGTTTGATGACAAAGGAATTATAAGGATCATTGAGAATCGTGATAAACAGCCTTCACGTCAAACACTGTGCACAACTGAAAGTGAAACCTTGTGACCCTCTTCATCCTAAAATAAAGCCTTGGTTACTATCTACCCCCCTCACTTGGTGTAGGACTGGGTTTATCTTTGCCTACAGAAGCAAGCCCCAAGGACTTTAGAATTGTCAGCAAGTCAGTGCAAACAGTGACAAAATATCATTCGATATGCAGTGACTCATAGCGACCCGGGAGAACTTTCACTATGATAAATGGCTGCTAGGAGTTTCTCATCACTGCTCACTGCACTTCTACATAAAACTTGTAAATTTCAAAAAGGGACTAAAAGTCATTACAAGAATTACCGAGATAAAAACAAGGATCTCAGGATCACAAACTTCAAAATGATGGTGAAAGTAAGGACTGATGACACTCTGGTACTTTCAGTATCAGTTCACTGCTATGTGTTCTTAGAAAAGGATTTGGCTGAACCACTGTAAAGCCCAACTCCAGGAAATGGAGAGGGGGAGAGAAAGAAAGAAAAAAAAAAAAAGCAAAAAAACAAAAACACTACCCTTGCAGTAGAGACCCTCTGGCACAGAAAGGATTAAATGCCCATTATGTCTAGGGGGAACAGGAGCCAGAAAAATTATGCTGGCCATAGATGGACTGAATCTCGGACAGCTCAGCAGGGATCAGCTGAGATTTGATCCATCTATAGGCAGGGTGGATCGACTTCAAAACAACCAGCCTGTTGGGTTTTTCTTTTGATCACTGCCAGCAGCTATAGCTGCTTTCCGTGAAGACTGTTTTCTGCTGGCTGGGAAAGCTCCCCACCAGCAATACAATAGTGCTGCAGGAGTGATTCCTCCATCCAACACTGACTGTGTTGGTGAGGGAAATCGAGCAATTTTCTTTCCTGTAACCTGTGGGTGCAGGAAATAAAATTGTATAATGTATGGCCTACTTTATTGGCCTCATCTCCTGCTGCAGTCCCTCTGTGTCATACGATATAAGGCAGGGCTGTTAACCCTGCATTGTACATGGTGGGGATTAGTGAGCAACCACAACTGGTAACATATTGGAGGAGGCTGCAAGGACCTGGATGCACTGCTGAAGTACTTATTATGGCACCCCTAGAAATAACAAGCATTTAACTCTTGCAGTACAGAAAAGGGGGCACTGCAAGGGTGGAATTTTTTCCAATTTGTGGAGTTGGGCTTTAACTGTTCAGTAAGTTTCATTATCACAAAGCCCCATTCACACCTGAGCCATTCTGTTCCTATAGTGTAACAATGCTCAAGATGAAGAATCCCAAAAGGCCCATTCACACCAGAGCAGTGTGTCACTTGCTGCCTATTGCATGATGCCAATAGAAGTACACGGGCTTCTTTGGGGCAGAACAGACTCAGCCTTTAATGGGGATGTCTGAAAAACAATCCCATTTAAAGATCTACTGGGTCAAAAATGTGCAATTCTGCTCCTGTACCACAAGCTGTACAAAATAAAACAAACCCTCTAAAATTACCTGGCTACACTCAAGCATGAATGGGGACCGAGATGTCAGCGCCTTACTAACCCAAATGTTTGAAGGAAGCTCTGTTCACAATGCCCATATGCAATCATTCTCACTTGTACGCTACCAGTGTAGCACAGGAGAATGAAGGAGAATCTTCGGGGTTTATTTACTAAAGCTGGAGAATGCAAAATCAGGATCACTTCTGCATAGAAACCAATCAGCTTCTAACCTCAGCTTGTTCAATTAAGCTTTGGCAATAAAACCCAGAAGCTGATTGGTTTCTATGCAGACGTGAGCCCGATTCTGCACTCTCCAGCTTTAGTAAATAAACCTCATACTGTCTGCTATAGGCAACAAGAAGAGTTCTTTCTTCAGACACAAAGCTCTTTATTGCACAGTATTCGTAGCAAAAAAAGAGTGCCGTCAGCCTCTACAAAAGGAGAAAACTTCAGATACGATACATTGTATTTTGTTAACCATGGACACAGCCTCATAGCCTACAATGACAAGGTTTGATGGCCTTCATTAGAACGTTAAAATGAAGTAATCCCCACACAGGTAAGGACTAGAAATTCAAGTTGATAAAAATGCTGTTCTTTCAATATCGAAAAGCAATGCACCAGAATAAAACATCTCGTTCTTCCAACACAGGGAATGTGCTATGGAACTACTTGCTTCTCCTCACTGGGGAAGAGGAAAAAATGCTCACTTGCAATGAAAGGGTTAAATGTGCATTAAGCTCTGCGGGACCAGGTACAGCAGATTCTTACTAGATCCTCTTCTCCCCGATGGTGGGCAATCCCTACATCATCAGGTACAATGCAAGGCTATAGGCTGCTGGAACATAGGGAAAAAAGGAGCTGTGGGGACTGGTCTTACAACCAGGAGAGAGCCTGTAGGAGTGGAGGATCAGGCAAGTATAAGTGCTTTTTCCAGTCCCCTAGATCTAAATGAGCATTTAACCCTTGCAGTGCAGCCCCACTACAAGGAAGCATTTTCCCTTTCCCCGGAGTTCAGCATTAAAAACATTAAACCACTGAGGTGCGGGATGGAAATGACACACACTTGTGATTCATGTGCCGGTCTACATATCTGCATTGGAACAATTTGTTAGACACCCCACCACCTTCATACCAACATAGGCACAAGTGAATTCACTTCGACAGAATTTCCAAACTCATAACAGTGTCTTGATAGCTAGAGATAGACATCCTCCGAACTCCATCCTAACTCAGAACTCCGGCTATTTTTTACTTTATTAAGCTGTGTGCTGGGTCAGCTCCCAGAAGTTGCGGGGTTAGGAATCACATGGTTTGCAGCTCAATGGATTCCAAATAAGCCAGAGTTTGGGGTAGAGAGGAGTATAGAGGATGCCCAAGTTCGCCTCTATCAGGATATGCTCAGATTGTAGTCCAAACACTTCTTAGGAATCCCACTAGAAAGCAGTCACCTGTACTGGGCCACTTATAAGCAGCTGAGGCATTCCCTGTCCCACATGTATACAACGGGAGTGTATATGTGTAGCTATGAGGCAGGTAATGCCTCAGCTGCTTATGATTGGCTTGGTACAGGTGATCACTTCCTGGTGGGATCACAGGTTGGTTTGGACTAGGATCCCAACAGACCCTGGTAGAGGTGAATTTGGGCATCCTCCGAACTCATCTCTAACACAAACTCTGGCTTTGTTTGGACTCCAATGACCTGCAGGCCAGGTCAGCTCCCCAGAGTTGTGGGCCGCGGAATTAAACGGACCACAGCTCATTGGAGTCCAAAAAAGCAGGAGGCTGGGTTAGAGATTAGCCTGAAGAATGCCCAAGTGCACCTCTACTAGGGTCTATTGGTACCCTACACCAAATGATCACCTGCACTGTGCAATCCATAAGAAGCTGAAGCACTCTGTGCCCCACATGTATACATGCAGTTGCAGGACAGGGAATGCCTCGACTGCTTATGATTGGCCCAGCACAGGTGACAGTTTTTTTCAACAGGCTAGCTGAAACAGTTTTGGACCAGGATCCAAACCTTGCCTGAGCTCATTTCTATTCTCTACCAATAGCCATCTGTCATGAAGAAATGCTACACTCCGCCAGCATCTCCAGGTCTGAGGACGCTTGGCCACCTTCATATATTGTGGGCTTTTTGCGTGTGAACCGACATTCTTTGGTAAGATGAAGGGAGGGCGATTCCCCCGCTCAGGGGGACTTCACAGAATTGGCGTGCACCGGCGGCAGAGTCCTTGGAGACGATCTCTCTCTCAGGGCCTGAGATAACAAGTTGCATCCGTCCGAGACAGCGCAGGCCGAGCTCCTCAAGCGGTCCTTGTAGTCTGTCATCTTGCTGCTGCCATCAGAATGCTGGGCTATATCCCTGAGGCACTGGGTCAGGAGCACACAGGCGGACACCACACTCATGGCACCCCCCAGGATGGCGGTCTGCACGGCCTTTCCCTCTTGGTTGAGCGAAGCCGCTTTGCCCAGGAACTGGGGCTCGGTGGCAAAGCCAACCAAGGCGTGGACTGCCTGCACCAGGGGGCCACCAAACAGCACGCAGCGGTTCCTAGAGAGTTCGCTGGGGGCAGTCTTGACTTCCTTGACGCAGGCGAGGAGCGCCGTGGCGCTGGTGCTCATGCACTTGACTCCCAGCTTGAACTGCTCCTTGGCGAACTTGTCCCGGGACTTCTCGCTGGCGGCCACGCTGGCGTCGGTCAGGATCTTGAGGTTCTTGGAGACGTTCTGTGAGATCTCCAGGAGGAGTTGGGGGGTCAGTTCCTGGAGGGGCACCGTCCTGAGCAGGGCGCAGCTCTGCTCCACCTCGTATCGGCACCGCGTCACCCGGTAGCGGTCCACCAGGCCCGGGAGGGCAGCGTGGGATCCGGGCACCTCTACCGCCGCCAGGTACGCAGCATGGGCGGAGAGCTCCACCAACGACACCACTAGGTCCCCCATCTCCTGCAGGCTGTCCCCCACCTCAGCGAAGCGGCCCATGTTCAGCTGGCTCTGCACATCGTGGGTCAGGATAGGACAGCCCCTTAGTCCGGGCGATCACCGTGTCCCGGCACTTCTCGAACGCCTCTCCCAGCTGGGTACCGGAGCTCTCCAGGGGGTGGACGGGACGGGGCTCGCTGGACAGCAGCAGCAGATCGGCCACCAGCTGCATCTTGGCCTTGCACTGGTCGCAGATGGACAGCAGCTTCTTGCGGGGCTGGGAGCCGCCCGCTCCGGAGGGCACCGAGGACCGGGCGGAACCGGAGCCGCTGCCGCTAGCCATCCCGCCGGGGGCAGCCGCTCATTCCTCGGCGGGATCGCCGCATCATCCCCGACTGGCTCTTCACGCCTCGTCCGGCCTCATGGCTCCTTGGGGTGACCGGAGAAGAAGCGGAAAAGGACGGAGACCCGCCCAACACCAGCTGTCTCTTCCCGGCCCGGATAAGGAACGTGGGACGGCGCCGCCCTGTGACGTCATCCCTCCGACAACCAAGAGGCGGAGGCAGCGGCATCTAGAGGGCGAGGGGCGGTAATGCAACTCACGGCGCCTCCGTGATTTATGAGCTCGTAGCGTTGCCAAGAGACGCGTGAGGACTGATCTCACCAATCAGCTGCCAATGACTTCCCGCCTTTTCGGTTCCCTCAGATACTTTTCAGCAGATCAGTGTTCTCTGAGCACTTTCTTTCTGCTTATATAAACTCACATCATCACAATAAAGTGTAACCAATGGCATTGTTTTACATTTTTGGTACAGTAATGGAGGGTTATAACCCCTGCCCTTTTTTTTTGGCTATTTGTGTCCCATTGGGGGAGATTTCCCTTCACTTCCCGTACTATAGTCAGAACAGGAAATGAGAGAAACGTCCTCCTAAGTGAAGGAATCCCAGGGTGTCACCAGAATATAGATTGTATTTGGAGTTCAGCTACAAAGCCTGACAGCTGTTATAACCCATCCTCACACTACTGAAAACTTGTCTGACTTTAAAGTGTAACTGAAGGCAAACATTTTTCCCCATTTTGGATACAGTAATGGAGGGTTATAACTTATTTTTTTATTGTTTATTTTTGCCATCTCTGTCCCATTGGGGAGATTTCTCCTTACTTCCTGTCCCATACCCAAAACAGGAAGTGAGAGGAAATACCCTCCAAAGTGAAGGAATCCCAGGGTGTCACCAGAATACCTGGAGTTCAGCTATAAAGCCTGACCGTTGTTATAACCCCCCCACACTACTGATTTTAAAGTAGAACTATAGGCAAAACTTTTGTTTTTCCTTTAGATTTTGGATCAAGTAAGGGATTTTAACCATCTTTTTTTTTTCACCAACTGTGCCCCATTGTGGAGATTTCCCTTCACATTCAGTCTCACAAGCAAACAGAAAGTGAGGGGAAACCCCTGCAAATAAAGTAAATTCCTTGGGGACCCCCCAAAATGTGTATGACTTTAAGGGCCAGTTCACACCATAGAAATGCAGTCCAGACGCCTTCCAGATACGTTTCTGTATGCGTGTTTCTGATGCATTCCAGTGCATTTTTTTCCCCTCATTTTTTCTTCACCCTAAAGAGGAACTACACTCCCTCCGAGCACCACAAACTATTCCATTCATTTTTAATATACAAGATATACAGAAAGCAAGGGGAATATGGGACTTTGGGGTACCTAATAACAAAATGGAAGTTACATAAAATAACTAGAAAAGGTACAATTTCTGGGGAAATTGTGTGACGTGTTCTTGCATCCAACCCTAACCAAGTGATTGATGAAATGTAAGCAGTGCACATGGCAAGCCTGATAGACTGAGAAATGCATTTCAACTTGTATTTTGCAGCTCACAGTCTAGCCTGGGTCACTCAGCTGCCTGGTGAGTCATCTTTGGTTGCTATGGCAACTCACTGAGTCAGTCACAGGAAGCTGAGAGGGGCTTTTATAAACACACTGCTCCAACTTGCCAAATTCACTGGCGATTGCCACTTTCAAACACTTGTAGTTTTAAAAGTATAAATGCTACTGCAAAGAGCTATATTGTGAGAATCACAAGAACCAGACCTACATTTTGATGCATAGTATGTCTCTGAAATATTAAAAATGAAGGCACAGTCACAGTTTAGAAATGACCCTTCAAATTTCAGGTGGCTGCGAGTGAAGTTTCAATGAAAGTCAATGGGCAGTGTGAGTTGCAAACAAAAGGTGATATTGTGAAAACTATCAGGACTATAGCTTAGTCGTGGACATTTTTAGTGGCAGCGGGGATTGCCGAACGTTTTGATATAAGATACATGTAGGTGGGCTTGAAAATGAGGGAGTGAT